GGAACGTTCTTAGAACTTTGGCTAACATTCCCTAGAGGTTTGGTTAATGTTTTAAATAAAACATTTGAATGCAATGTTTTAAGAATGTTTTAAGGATGTTTTCTCATTTTCAAATAATGTTCCTATAAGGTTAAATGTAAACTAAAGATATAACATTTTCACTGTAACATTTTGAGGATGTTTTGGGAATGTTGCTGAGATAACAGATTAAACAATGTTCTCAATAAAACATTAGCACAATATCTCATAATAACAGAGGAGGAACATTATCAAATCAACGTTCGCAAAATGTTTTGAGGATATTATTTAGTCCTGAGATGATGGAATGTTTTTATAAAATGTTCTTGTAATGTGACGTGTTAACAAAACTAGAACATTGTCACTGTAACATGTTGAGGATGTTTTGGGAATGTTGTTGAGATAACAGATATTAGAATGTTATCAATAAAACATTGGTACAATGTCCCATAAAAACAAAGGAGGAACATTATCAAATCAACGCTCGCAAAATGTTATGAGGATATCATTGAGGCCTGAGATGACTGAATGTTTTTTTATAAAATGTTCTTGTAATGCGACATGTTAAGAAAACTAGAACGTTTTTAAATTTAACATTTTGAGGATGTTAATGAGGTAAAGGTTTGTAGAATGATCTCTTAATAGAACATTGAAACAATGTTCCACAATAACAGAGGAGGAACATTATCAGGTTAACGTTCGCAAAATGTTTTGAGGATACTATTTAGTCCTGAGATGACGGAATGTTTTTTATAAAATGTTCTTGTAATGTGACATGTTAACAAAACTAGAACATTTTTACTGTAACATGTTGAGGATGTTTTCGGAATGTTGTTGAGATAACAGATATTACAATGTTCTCAATAAAAACATTGGTACAATGTCCCATAAAAACATAGGAATAACATTATCAAATCAACGTTCGCAAATGTTATGAGGATGAGGCCTGAGATGATGGAATGTTTTTTATAAAACGTTCTTGTAATGTGACGTGTTTTAACAAAACTAGAACATTTTTAAATGTAACATTTGAGGATGTTGATGAGGTAAAGGTTTGAAGAATGATCTTTTATAAAACATTGAAACAATGTCCCATAATAACAGAGGAGGAACATAATCAAATTAACGTTCGCAAAATGTTTTTGAGGATATTATTTAGTCCTGAGATGATGGAATGTTTTTTATAAAATGTTCTTGTAATGTGACTTGTTAACAAAACTAGAACATTTTCACTGTAACATGTTGAGGATGTTTTCGGAATGTTGTTGAGATAACAGACATTACAATGTTCTCAATAAAACATTGGTACAATGTCCCATAAAAACATAGGAATAACATTATCAAATCAACTTTCGCAAAATGTTATGAGGATATCATTGAGGCCTGAGTTGATGGAATGTTTTTTTATAAAATGTTCTTGTAATGTGACGTGTTTAACAAAACTAGAACGTTTTAAATTTAACATTTTAAGGATGTTGATGAGGTAAAGGTTTGTAGAATGATCTTTTATAAAACATTGAAACAATGTCCCATAAAAACATAGGAATAACATTATCAAATCAATGTTCGTAAAATGTTCTGAGGATATTATTTAGTCCTGAGATGATGGAATGTTTTTATAAAATGTTCTTGTAATGTGACGTGTTAACAAAACTAGAACATTTTCACTGTAACATGTTGAGGATGTTTTCGGAATGTTGTTGAGATGACAGACATTACAATGTTCTCAATAAAACATTGGTACAATGTCCCATAAAAACGGAGGAGGAACATTATCAAATCAACGTTCGCAAAATGTTATGAGGATATCATTGAGGCCTGATATGATGGAATGTTTTTTTGATAAAATGTTTGTAATGTGACGTGTTTAAACATTAACACTGTAACATGTTAAGGATGTTTTGGGAATGTTGTTGAGATAACAGATATTTAACGTTCTCAATAAAACACTGAAACAATGTTCCATAATAACAGAGGAGGAACATTATCAAATCAACGTTCGAAAAATGTTTTGAGGATATCATTGAGGCCTGAGATGATGGAATGTTTTTATAAAACATTCTTGTAATGTGACGTGTTAACAAAACTAGAATGTTTTAAATGTAACATTTTGAGGATGTTGATGAGGTAAAAGTTTATAGAATGATCTTTCATAAAATATTGAATGTAGGCCTACCATAATAACAGAGGAAGAACATAATCAAATTAACGTTCGCAAAATGTTTTGAGGATATTATTTAGTCCTGAGATGATAAAATGTTTTTAATAAAACATTCCTTTAAATTGACTTTTTAACAAACATTTTGCATGATACATTTTGAGGATTTTTTGTCGAAATGTTGTTATCTTTTATAAATCATTGGCACAATAACAAAGGAGGAACATTATCAAAGCAACATTCATCAAATGTTTTGTGGACATTTACCTGAGATGACAAAATCTCATAATATATGTTAACAAAAGCTCATAAAATTGTAAGGATATTTTAAGGAAGCTGTTTAGGTAACAGATTGTAGAATTATTTTAACCTATAGAATAATGGCATAATTTTCCATAATGAAAGAGGAACATTGTCAAAACAGCATACGGTAAAGTGTTTTGAGGATATATTAGGCTACTCTGAAATGAACTGTTGCGACAAATGCGTTTACAAGAGATGAGAAGCTGATTGGAGGTCGCTGTAGATCGACGTTTAAAACCACCAATCACAGCGCGATGTTCCCATGACGTAAGAACATTTGAACTCGACAAACAGCGCAAATAAAGCAACGTTTCTGTTGAAGAAATCGGCGCAGAATGTCCGTTGTCTAAATTGGCGACACATTGGCCCAAAACAACAGAACTCCTGGTCAACGGAACTCTTTCACAACTGTAAGTTTTTGTGTGTATTTTTTCAGTTTACATAGCTTTCTCTTATCCTTGATGTCTTTCAGTATTAGACCTAACTTTCTACTTCTTAGAATTGTATGACAGTCGCATTAAATCTGAGTGTATGCTACTTTTGAATAACAGCTAGATTTGTTTTAATGCAGACTCCAAACGGACTGTTTCAAGATGATTAACTTACGATGACACAATAAAGTCTCCATTTACAACCAAGGTAGCCAAGATGCCGGTATGTGTTCTATGCATACGAATACTGTATTTTTACTTAAAAGTGATCTTAATGTCTTTTGAAAGTAAAAGTTAATAATAATTCAGTAATTCATATAACGTTAGAGGTTAACGTTAATGAATTGGAAAGAGCGTTTCTCAAGGCTTCAGGTTTATATAACATTCTTCTTTCAGATGAATACTATCTGAGTTATATTTAAAAAAATGTCCTGACTCTTCTGACTTTTAGAATGGCAGTGAATGGCCGTCTATCAAGGCGCATCCATCCATGATAAAAGTAATCCACCACATGACTCTGGCGGGGGACTCTATAAAGCCCTTTTAAAGCGAAGCATTTGTGTAAGAAAAATATCCATTTTTAAAACTTTATTGTATTAAGATATTGGATACATGGATTAAGTATGTTTTAAATTACAGAAACAAAAAAGATACTCATAATTTATCATATTTATACTTTCAATAAATTAGTCTTTACATAATTTCTGACTGCTAATTAGGCTGGCTAATTTTGAAAGTTTTCAATGTCAATATTGCTTGTGGTCTTAATGTATGTGTATTCTTTATGTTTACACTTTTGCATGATCTTCTTTTTTAGGCTATGAGGAAAAACTCTACTGTGCACACAGAGAACAGAGCTCAATGCTAACTGGGGGAGCAGCTGGACAACTAGAAGAGAGAATAGTAGAACACTATTATTAATACAGATTCCTGGATTATTTTTCTGCAAGAACCAAAACAAGCAAAGACTGATGATGAGTGCTCTGAGCAAACACCGCAGTCAAGACGCATGAGTGACTTTACTGAGTTCTTCATGTAATGTTGGGCATTTACTGTACGCAGAACTTCTAATAATTTATGTGGATGCCATTTAAACCTGTTAGATTTTGATGTTTTAGTTTTGAGATTAATAAAATGTTATGCTTTAACAATGTTATAGCTAATCATTTTTGAGGGGTTTTAAGAGAACATTTTGGGAACAAAAATAAACTTCCGCTAAAAACTTTATAAGAAAGTTAGGGGATAATGTTTTAAAAATGTTATGATTAAACCTTTATAGAAGGTCATCACAAAACATTTTCAGAGTGTTCTTAGCGAATGTTATGCCATCTTTTAAGAGAACATTCTGGGAACAAAAAGAAAACTACCCGCTGAAAATGATATAAGAACGTCAGGGAATAATTTTCTAACAATGTTAGCATTTAACATATTTAGAATGTTTTTAGAGAATGTTATTAGAACTTTTAGAGAACATTCTGGGAACAAAAAGAAAACTACCCGCTGAAAGTGTTATAAAAACATTAGGGAGTAATGTTCTAACAATGTTAGCAATAAACATATTTAAAATGTTTTTAGACAATGTTATTAGAACTTTTAAGAGAACATTTTAGGAACCAAAAAAAAACTACCCGCTGAAAATGTTATAAAAACATTAGGGAATAATGTTCTAACAATGTTAGCAATAAACATATTTAAAATGTTTTTAGACAATGTTATTAGAACTTTTAAGAGAACATTCTGGGAACAAAAAGAAAACTACCCGCTGAAAATGTTATAAGAACGTCAGGAAATAATGTTCTAACAATGTTAGCATTTAACATATTTAGAATGTTTTTAGAGAATGTTATTAGAACTTTTAAGAGAACATTTTAGGAACCAAAAGAAAACTACCCGCTGAAAACATTATTAGAACACTGCATGGTAATGTTCTCAGAACATTTTTAGAACAAAAAAATCCTAGCTGGGAATAATGCAAGCATGCTGTCCGCGGCTGCACTCCTCTAATGTGAACCAGTGAGTGACGCATTGCAGCCCTGAACCGTCGCATAACTGGCAGACGTCAACAACACACTTGATGGTTGCAATGAATAATAATAATAATACATGTGATCATTCCCTAAATAAATACAGTTTTTTTTTTTTTTTGAAAGAAGTCTCTTCTGCTTACCAAAGCTGTATTTATTTGAGAAAGCAAAATAAATAATAATATTGTTATATTGTTACAATTTAAAATAACTGTTTTCTATTTTTATATATTTTAAAATGTAATTTATTCCTGTGATCAAAGCTGAATTTATCATCATCATTTAGTGTCACATGATCCTTCAGAAATCACTCTAATATGATGAATTGATGCTGAAAACAGTGTAAAAAAATCTGATTCTTTGATGAATATAAACTTCAAAAGAACAGCATTTACTTGAAATGGAATATTTTGTGACATTATAAATGGCTTTACTGTAACCTTTGATCAATTTAACTCATCCTTGATGAATAAAAGTATTGTTTTTATTTTATTTTCTCCCACCAAAAGAATAAATAAAAATTGTTACTGACCCCACACACTTAGAAGAAAAGGTTCTATCAGCGCTACGTATTTGGAACCCCTAAAAGGTTCTATACAGAACTCTTTTTGAAGGGTTCAATAATTAGAACCATTTAGGGTTCTGTGTAACCAGGAAAAGGGTTCTATATGGAGCCTTTTGGGTTCATTCATTATCATTTGTTTTGTCCTTTCCGGATTAAATGTTTCATATTATTGACAAACATCAAGACCCTAAAATATATTTATGAATGCATGTGAATGATCACAAAATTCAAGATATGGGGGTTAGAAAATGTATATATTTCTATCATTTTTTGTAGTTTTTTGTAGTAATCAATATCACACGAAGAGTGCCATTTCAGGTTTTCTCCTCCAAAAATCAGCATGATTAAAATGTAATAATACAATGTTGCAGAATAATGTAATATATGAATGAATAATAGCCTATAAAGAACCTTTTTGCCAAAAGATTTTTTCTTGTCATTATAGAACCTTTTTTAGCATAAAAGGTTCTTTGGGGAACCCCGATGAACCCTTTTTTCTATAAGAGTTTTGAACGGTAGTGTTTAATGTTACAAAAGCTTTTCAGATAAATGCTGTTATTTTGAACTTTTTATTCATCAAAGAATCCTGAAATAAAAATGTAAATAACTGTTTTCAACATTGATAATAATAAGAAATGTTTTTTGAGCATCAAATCTTAGAGTGATTTCTGAAGGATCATGTGACACTTCATGAAGACTGGAGTAATGATGCTGAAAATTCAGCTTTTATCACAGGAATAAAATTACACTTATATATAGAAAACAGCTGTTTAAGATTGTAATAATATTTCACAATATTACTGGGGTTTTTTGGGTATATTTAATCAATAAAATACAGCCTTGGTGAGCAGAAGAGACTTCTTTTAAAACATAAAAAATCTTACTGATCACACACAAACTCACACACACACACACACACACACACACACACACACACACACACACACACACACACACACACACACACACACACACACACACACACACACACACACAAACACAAACACACACACACACACGCACACACCCAGTCATCTGAGTGAAAGCGGGTTTAAGCTTTGAAACCTGATCTCCTCCGGCTGTCCTATTTCTGCCTCGCCTCACCACAGGAATGGCTGGAGAATGTTCCGGGAATGTTTGGAAAGGCTTATCAGGAGAACTCAGCTCTGATCATTCCTAACTGAAACATGACGGACAGTGACTGCGTCAGCCGGCAGGATTCAAGAAACACCAGCACAACCAGTAATCTATGAGAAATGAGACAGTCTGTTCAACACATCTAATGATACAACAGGGACACTTCAGGATAATGGCCGGAATGGGGAAAAGGTTATTTCTGAATACTGCAAACCACTTAATAAAGTTAATTCATTCAGATAACTGTAGAATTAAGGGTGATTGGGACATAAGGTCAAATGGGACGCGATAGTTTATCTTCTGGCTTAGTGTGTGAAGATAAAGCCCTAGCTGACTGTGAGACCGCATCAGCACTGTAGAGCTTCATCACTGTGACATCATGAGGTGAGGAAGGTGACATACGCTTTAGCTATAGTTTTCATAATGAGGTCATAAACTTGTAAAATTGTATACCATAACTAATATTTTGCATGGAAACATGAAAATGATGCACAACTAAATCAGTAAGATGTGTTCATTTAATGTTTGTTGTTTTTGTCCCATCCACCCAAACAAGCTGAAATAAAACAACTAAAATTAAACAACCCAATTCTGACTATAGAAATTTTGTTGCAGTAATAATACACCATTTATTTCATCAAAGGTTTGCAGGTTAAATATGTTTGATAAACAGTTTATTGGGGATGGGATCAGCCATCACTTCATCCAAATGTTTTTTTAATTATTATTATTCATTTTAATTCTTTAAAAAATGTTGGACCTCAACCATTTTTCTTACTCGTTTACACTTTCTAAAGTCTTCTTTTATCTCGATTATGCTTTGTTGTATTTTATGTATTGCGGATGTATTTATGATTGAGAAATAACAGAAATAAACATAGACTCTTAATAATGATGAACAGAAAAAGAAAACCTTGCATTTGAAATGATATCAAAGTATGGGGTAAATCAAGGATAAGATGTACATCAAGGATTTTATATCATAAATCAAGGATAAGATGTCCAGCTGTCCCTATCACTTAAAACGTCCCATCCCCATCAGCCAAAGGGGTTTTGGCTCAGTTTACATTAAGGGTCAAGCAAGCATCCTTTCACTATAATATAAACTTGTTTCATGTTCACATCTTCAGTATTACAGAAATTACGTTTTTAATGTATGGCAATAAACCTTGAACATGGTGGAAATTCAAAAACTGTCCCAATCACCCTTATTTGGCCCAACATGAATCCAAAGAGCAAATTGTTTTTAGAACGTGACAATTTGACATTTTCTCACCCCAAAACGACACACACTGATGCAAACTTGCACTACCCGCCATCAGCACTAGATGTCTGCAGACACCACACAAACACAAACACAACGCAAGCGTAACAGGTCCTGCTTCAGCAACTAAATAGGCCTAAGGAAAAATAGCATAACATGAATTTTTTTTTTAAACTCGCTCGTTAAAATACCCGAGTGAAACTTATTTGCTAATTTCGCTCATAAATAAAAAACTAGAATATTTTTTTTTTTTTAAAAAGTCAGTAAGTATTAAAGAACACTGAAAATAAGAACAACAACAATCCGTTAAAATAGTCGCTCCTTAAAAAATGAGTGTTGTTAAGGGGGAAAAAAGGGAAAATTTGACCAAATTTGTAAATGTACGTATAGTGTTTACGTCCAGAGCACTCTCCTCGTCATCTCATCCCTGAGGAATCGTGCGTTAGTCGAGTGTGAGAGTATGCATTCAGTTCGCCGGGCCTAGTCTGTCTGCGAGGAGATATTCACACGACATTAAAAATATTCACGACTGCGTAAGTTGTCATAGCGTTACATTATGTCTATTTCCGGGTGAAATCACGGCTCAGAAGTTCGTGTGTCTGCGAACTGTTGACAAAATAGCGGTTGCGTGTGGAAAGGGGGGGAGCGCAAAGCAAACAGGGAGAAAAAAAAAATCCCCGACCGATCGCTTGTTTCACTCAGTCAGCCTGCGGAAAGAAGCAGGAAGAGGACTAGAGCTGTTCACCTGTCGAGTGGAAGACTGCACTGGACATTTGAAGGAGAAGAAGACCTTGCTTGTGTCTTCTTACTGTGATTGAAACCTGCCCGATGGTGTTTTGGGGAGTTCAACCCAACTTCGTACGTTCAGTTTCCGCGAATCCCACAGAACTGGCGTCGGACATTCCATTCCGGTGGGATAATCTATTCTAAAGGTGAGCGTTCTGTGCTGGGAAGTGTATCGTGTTCTGTGGTGTGTCGTGTGTGTTGCAATGAGTGGCGAAGATTTGTGTTACATTGCATTGATCTCGCCGCCTCGATGTTATTTATTTGTTAATAATATGTCGTCGGATGCGCTTAGACTGCAAACATGACACATTCGTGGAGAAGCGCTTTAGTGCTCCATCCTGCGTCAATTACATGTATTTCTTTTTATATAAAAACGTAGAAGTAGCATGTTTCTGTCTAAAAGTTTCATACATTCTATAGATTTGGAGTATTGACCATTCAGATGCAGAGTTGACATCTGTTTGGTTACTTTTGAACGCTTTCACTTGCTTGTTAAACATGGCTTTTAAAAAGAGCTCTTATTTTTAAGTTTAAGAATCAAAGTTCTATCATTAAACAATGGATTGTGATATATCCATTACGGCCACTCGTTAAAATGTAGGATTGCTTGGATGACAAGTTTACCTGACTGGACATAAACGTGTGTTTACTGGACAGAGAGGCACGGCTTTAGTTGTTTGTGCCATAGACGGATGCGATGGCATAATACTGGGCTAAACTATGACTCAACACGCATATGGACATGAGCAATGAACCTCAGGACACGCCCACAGGCCGTTCTCCAACCCTGTGCATATTCTACATACAAATGAAAAGAACTTTCTGGATCTTAACGCGTTCCAGACTAATCTGAACTTGGAATTCTTAAAAATATTCCACAGGAGAGGTTCTCCAGGTCTTGGAAGACACTCCTGGAGAGGCTCTCCAGGTCGGACGTTCAAGGCAGGTCAACACCGTCTTCAGTTTGATGTCATTCCCAAGGTGGTGGCGATTCAATCAACATAGTTGTTTCCCATTGCAGTAGAAAATATTCTGATTTCCATATTGTGTGGAATGCAAAATAAGTTCAAAAGTGGGGCTATTGGCTACAAGATTCAGCCATTTTGTCATTTTAATGTAATTTAAGTTGAAATGACTTAAACATCCAAGACAAGTTGACTGTACTTAAACATTTTGTTTTTATAGTACAATCACACTATCGTACGCATACAAAATCTAAAAATGTGGATAAAAAGTGTATGCGCTCTGTTGAGGCAGGTACGTTTTTTTTATCCGATAAGAGGACATGCGCATAAACGACGATGGAAACACATTTACTGAATGAATCCTTTGATGCGGAACAAAAAACCTCACATGATTTTACGTCATTTGAGCATCTCAAATGTTGGTTTGGTCGTTCTGACATTCAAAGTCTGTCATCGACCGAACCTCAGTGGCTTCCATGGTTACAACCACCATTTTCATTACGGATATTTTGCGAGAATTTTGTTTTTCTGAACACATGAAAGGTCATCTTCAGTCAGATAGAATGTTTGTGTGTGTGTGTGTGTGTGTGTGTGTGTAAGACAAATGTGTTTTTTGTGAGTTGTTCTTCTTGGCCCTCACACACACACACATGTGACCGGAGCTTCAGAGAGACTTTGGTGGCAGACTGTGATGTCATCAGTCAGGGGACACAAACACTTTGGGATGCCCACACACACTCGCTCACAGTCAGAAGAGAGGTCACTGTGGTGACAGGGCCAGTGAATGGGCTGATTCTCTCAGTCATGTGAGAGCACAGTGTGTGTGTTTGTTTTAGAGGCGCAGGAAAACATTTTTCCTTAGAAATGGGGACAGACACACACACATAAACTCCCATGGCGGACTGTATGATTTAAAGAGCAGATTATTTATTGGAGAGCCAGTTAGCATTAAGAATCTTTAATGCTGTAATGTTTTAGAAACAATAACAATATTAAATGTCAACAAAATTGACCCTTTAATACACTTGAGGTCATATTCCGCATGTTATCGTAAAGAAAAAAAAGTTTGTCTTTCATCACAGTCTTTCATCAAAATGTAATAACTTGCTCTGCCTTTGAATCAAATTACATAGGCTGTGCAGAATCCTTTTGGATAATGGTAGGTTTTGTAATTCTGTTAGTCATTGTAGATAAAACCTTGCCAATAGTTAGTAATTCGATGCTGATTAACTCTAATGTAATCCTGGAAGTGACCCTGCTCCACCTAGTCTATGTGTCTATGTAATACTGTCCGGGATTAGAAATTAAAAAAAAAAAAATGACAAAGATGAAGAAGATAACTAAGTGAATCCTTTCAGCTCAATAGCCATAAGAGTGTAATTGGCTAATCTAAAACTCTAGGTCACAGAGAGTGAACTTGACATGTACTTCATATTCATAGTAATTTAGCACTTGCATGCTATATAAAATGAAACAATGTATCCAACATATTTGTTGTGAAACACATGTTCTCATTTGTACTTCCCATTTTTGTTCTGAAATGTACATAAACGGTACATAGGCAAGGTTCATTTTCCTTAAAGATTACATAATAGTTAAAATGCAATAGGGTCATTCGTGCCGTCATTATTCAGTATATATACATGGATCAATATTAGATGAGTAATCCAATATTTTGTTCTAGACGGGGGTGAAAATGACTTTAGAAATCTGTTGACTTAAGCAATCTTTGCTGCATTATATGCCAATGATGACTGACTGTTCAAAAATGGGGAAACGAATATAAATCTTTAATACTTCTAGAGTTACAGGCACGCAAACTTGGGAAAAGATCATTTTTGTGGCAGTTAGACAGAAATGTTCAATGCAACTGTTTTCAAGAGGGAAACATTTCTAGTTTCAAACATTATTTTTTGTTCTTCAGACAATCCTCTTTAAAAGAAAAAAGTATCCGCTGTATGCAATGTACAGTAAAACGTTTAATTCACATTGAGATCCCCATATCTCTGGGATTTAGAATTTTGTGTATTTTACCAAATGACTACAATTATATGTAATTTGGCTCCAAATCTTGGGTGAAAATTCCACAAAATAGTGGATTACTCAGTAAATATTCATTCTCCATAACATTATATATTTTGGCTGTCATCACTATTTGCATTTGTCTTGTCTTGTCAAACAAATTTTGTCTCGTCTTGTTCATAAAAAATATGAACTATCAAAAATTTCAGGGAAAGTTTCGAAAATTTGTTTGATTTGACACAGAATGACCCAATCGATTTGAAAAAGGTAGAGTTCCTCTTAGTGGTGTGATATTTCAATACACCAATACCAGCTGCGTTCTCGCTCTCTCTCCTCTCCGACGGGGACAATTTGACAAACACACTCCTCCTATCGCTTACCTGTGTCGTTCACTCCAGTTGAATAGTGTTGGGTCCTGAAGTATTGCACATAATTGTAGGTTTCGCGCTCACACCAAAAGAGCGTGCACCACTGATGTTTTTAAATGACGCTCTCATAAAGCCACCTCTCAGACAACTCGCGAGTACCAAATTTAGTTCTTGGCTTATTTGGCTTAAATGGTCAAATACACACAAAATTAGGCTAAAATGCCCGTCATGGCGAGCATTCACGTAAACAGTCAATATTGGAACATAAATAGTTGAGAAAAAACGCATGTTGTATAACAATTCCGTGCTTAAGCTTTAGGGGCAGTTTACTCGACACCGTTTTCAACGAGAAACGTAAAACTTTATATGCGTTTTGTGCATTTGTTTACACGACAACTGCGGAAACATCTGTAAACGCTAACTTTTGAAAATGGGTTTCTAAGTGCAAGTTTTTGAAAACGGTCTCTGAATAAACAACAAAAGTGTAGATCTCTAAAGACGATGACGTCATGCACATGCGTATTACGTGTTCAGTCTACAGTGTTTCATCGCCATCTAATGGCCTGGCAGAGGAATGCAGTGATTTTAGTCGTTTTCGCGGATCTGAGTGAATCGGGATTAATTTGACGATGTCTGTAAGTGGAAAACTCAAAGGAACAACATTTCAGTTTTAAGCATATCGTTGTTGTGTAAACATAGCCTTAAAGGGATAGTTCACTTTGAAATTAATTTTTGATATGTTTTAGCTTGCCTCAAGTGCATACAAGATGTAGGTGTCTTTGTTTCCACACAGTATTTTCAATTTTGATATTTTCCGTCAAACCGTCTGACTGTGTTATCAGTCAGATAATGGAGGTCTATGGGGTAAACCTCAAAGAGCATGCTCAGAGAAGTCCAACTTAAACATGATTTAATGACTCGTAAATGTAAGTATACATTGATGGTCTAAAACACGAAACGAGCGGTTTGTGTGAGAAAAAAACGAACAGTATTTATAACGTTTTTTACCTCTTGTAAACACAGCCACAAAGCGCCCACGCCCTCAGATCACTTGCATGTGGCTGTGGTTACAAGAGGTAAAAACGATATAAATACTGTTCGTTTTCTCACACAAACCGCTCGTTTCGTGTCTTAGGCCATCAATGTGTACTTACATTTACGAGTCATTAAATCATGTTTAATTTGGACTTCTCTGTGCATGCTCTTTGAGGTGGTGACCATAGACCTGCATTATATGACTGACAGACAAGAACGATTTGACCTAAAAATATAAAAATCTAAACTACTGTGGAAACAAAGACACCTACATCTTGGATGCCCTTGAGGTAAGACAAAACATACCAAAAATGAATTTCAAAGTGAACTATCCCTTTAAAGTGACAACGGTCTAATAAACCTGCCGCTGTTTGTCATGTTAATCAAAGAACTAAAGACAAAGAGTAAATCGCTTCTGCTCTTTAATTGTAAGCATTACTAAAGTTAGACCCACCTAAAAAACTTAAAGCCATGTTTATTCCATTTGTCTCATTATTCTATTGTATTTATTTGTGTTATTGTTTACGATTTATCTATTTGGTTTTAATTTGTTGGCCGTTTACCTGTCTGTTTTGTAAAAAATTGTTCAAAGTTTCAAGTTTTTATTATTTTAATCAATAAAAAAATGTATATATAATTTATATACAAGGCAGATTTCCCCATTGTGTTGAAAATGGTATTGAATATCAATATTTTTCAAGGTATATCATATCTAAGTTAGAAATTCTAGCATCGACACTACAGTAGACGATACTT